CCTGCTGGGCAAGTGGGCGCGTTGGGCCTTCACTGGCAGAGAGATTATGCGATCCTGGCCCGTCCCGGGGGTCGGCGGCACAGGGGCGGCAGCCCCTTTTATTATATATACAAAAAAAAATATGATATTACAACCCACAGATCCACAGATCTGCTTCTGCTACTGCCGCGTTCCGCTTCCACATGGAGCGTTGTCAGTGGTCCCCAGAAAATTACTGTATGGAGGAAAAGAAGTGAATAGAAACTGACTGCACTCTTCTTGCAGCCAAGGGGCAACATCTGATGAGTTTGCATTCATCATTTCCGCCAAGCGTGGGCGAACTTCTGACAGGATCTTCTGGTATCCTCCATAGACGAGGGATATCTTAGGGCGGCATCAGCCATGAATATCCATGAGTACCCTTTGGAAGCCAGTAACTTTGGTCAAGTGCGTGTTCATCAGAAGTGAAGAGGCTGAAACCCATTGACTTTAGCATGTTCAGCTATATTTTCCGATTGACTTTAGTATTCTTTAGTCACGTTTACCAGTTTTCAGGCTTCCCAAAAATTCTCCGAAAATAAAGCTTGAGTACCTCCAAATCACTGAACAACCATCATTTTCCCATATTTTTCCCATATTGGCCATATCTTCCCGACCTTCGATGGCCATTAACTGGATTTCACCCCCCAAGGGCCCCAGGGGCCCCATCACCTCCTGAGGCGAACCACGCCGTTGGCTGTGCTTCCTGCTGATCCACGAAGCCGCTTTGGGCTTCTCGTACCAACAAAGGCGTGGCTCCAAAGCCCCCGTGATTGAAGTTCAGGAAGCCGGGCCTATCACTGTATCAGTGCTCGAAGGATGTGGAAGAATGATGATCATTGGAGATCAGGACTTTTAACAACTTCAAGGTATAAACAGAGTTGATCAATAAAAAAAAGTCAAGTAGACACTTATAACGTTTATTGTAAGGGATGCTCGTCAAGCACTTGTTCCCACCATGGTGTCTCTTCTTTGGCCAAATACGAATTTCAGATTTGAGACATACCGGTTTATCATGGTTTATTCATGTTTATTATTATTCAAGTCAAAGAAGAAACAACCAAAGTCTGAAATCTGAAGCAGAAGCTGGTTTGCCACCATGCTGAACTAATGTAAATCATTTAAATCATCTCACTCTGGCAGCAAGTTCCACCAAGTCGCTGGAACTGAAAATATTTCTCTCTGGTTGGCTTCCCAAAAGGAATCCCCTGGCAGTGGATGCTGAGGTGAACAAAAAAAAGATTGAGCCTGAGATCCATTGATCAACCATCTTTACCATCTGTTTCTTTAATGTAGCCATGGAAAACCCACTATAAATGGAGGTTTTAATGGGAAATGTATCTATAAATGGCCCATTTTCCATGGCTTTGTTAAACAACCAGAGGGTACATCCTGCTGCATTTTAGCAATGGATCCGTTTGAGGTTTCCTGCAGACGTCATCCAAGTCTTGTCAAATACGAAGCGCGCATCCAAGTTTTCGTCATGGTCACTTCTTGTGAAAACACCCGCCTCTGCTGGAGGAGACCAAACAACCAGCTGATTGTGATAGGGAACATATGTTGGTAAATGCTATAGGGTTCCAGCTTCAGTGTGTACTGTACAATAATCAAATAGTACATATAGTTTTATGGGCTTTGTTGAGGAGATGTGATTCACTGTTCCCGATGTTCCCGTCTGCATTGAAACTATTTTGGTACCTCCCTTTGCGGTTCGCTCGCAGCCAGTGAGGCCAGCAAAAGGCCGCTGACGATCATGGCACTGTGGACGGAAACCATGGCGTTGAGAAGCGAAATGATAAGAACCTTGTGGAATCTTGGCTCTTCTGCTTTCCTGCTGGTTTCAAACGGTACACAACGATACATTATGATACATTCACATGCGACCAGCCTTTCATGAATTCTCATTCTGCGACCTGAATATATTGGGACACTTCAGCAACTTCACTCTCTTTGTGTTTGTCGAACGCCTTGCAGAGCCTGGCAACGAACGACTTTTGGACTTTTGGAGATCACTCCCCCGGAGCTCCACGGGCACTAAGATTGGGTCGGTATCAACCCCGAAGAGGTCCGCCTCCCTGACAGGAAACAGCGCTTGCTGTGCAAAAAAAAGGCACTATGACTCACTATGACCTAATGTATCCTAATGCATCCTAAACATCTATAAACCGTTGTAAAGCCCTTGTGGAGATATTGTGGGGTAAGGTCTTCTGCAATTGTTCATCCCAGCAGATGGTAAAATTGGGTCAATGGGCAGTTGTTGTTCATTGGGTTTATCACTTTGCTGATTATGGATAATATGGATAATCTATGGATAATCCATGGATATGGTTGATATACCTATATGGATAATCATGAACTACAACAGCAGAAAACCCAAGGCAAATTTGACAGCGTAGTGGCACAGTAGAGTGAATACACTCGTAATTCTGTGTGGACATCACATATTGCGAGGAACTGATTATGTATGAAATTGATTGAAATTGTATCATTGAGTCAAACATGCGCACAGAATGCCCCCCGCTTCACACAACCAGTAGGGTTTAGATGGGTACACTGTGTACCTGATGTCTCCCTCAGCTGGGCCTTGTGAGTGACTCCTGGCTGAAGCTTCTACTCATCTTCTACGAAGCACAGCAGTGCGCACTCCGAATTATCATGTACTTCGAGCTCAATCAATCGTTAGATCTTTCACAATTTCATACGATTTCCATGTTCCTATCTTTGCCTGGACGGAAACGTTGAGCCAAAAAGTTTGCTACTGGATGATACAACCATCCCGGCCATCTCTGCTTTGCCGTTACGGCCTTTGTCTTGTGGGCCATGTCATGTTATGGATTTCTTCGTCCAAATTTGCTAACGCTTGAGCCAAAGACATCAGAACAGATTCTTACAGTGCAGAAACGGTGCGCAGCTTTTCTATGGGTCCATTGGAAAAAACATGAAAAAACAAAGGGAACTATCCCATGAGTCTTCTGGAAGCTTCCACATGCTCTTCAGGCTGCAGCGCGTCGACCTGTTTTGGGGGTCTCCTGACCTACGCCAATTCGGTGGGGCCGAGTGACCGAAGTGAATTTGACATGTGGAGTGGTCACAAAGACCGGTGCTCCACTTCCTGCGAACGAAAGCTTGATATAAACTGAGCTGTCCTGTTATATACACCCAAATTGAAAGAACCAGTAGAATCCGGTTGAATACACCCAGTAATCTAATAGGACATTTCAAAAAAAGGTTTCCTTGATTTGTCGGCATTGTGAAACCTAGCTCATCAACACCCAGTCTTCTCGCTGAGTTGTATATCACACTTTCGACCAATGGGCTAAGCTGACTGCCATGCAGTCGAGGTACCAGCGGTATCCGAAAGTGACTGATGTCGAACACTAGTGCTAACGTCTTGGTCGGAATAGTGATGAATACGCAACCAGGAAGGCGCATGAAGGCGGCACCCATACATCACTTCAATGTTAAACAATATTAAACATAATTTATTAATATTTATTAGACATTTGATCTAGACCTCTGACATGCTGCTCTGACATTCTGGCCGGCAGGTGCTTGTTTGTCTCAGAGCCCGAAACCCCCAAGTGCCTTGAAATTGCGAGTTGACAACGCGCAGGTAGTGACTTAGCCATTGAAAGCCATTTAAATCATCATCCCAGCCCGTCCCAATAGCTATGACTTGTGTCTGAGAATAGGATACCCCAAAATCCAATGGATTGCCATCACATTCCTTACCAAAACTACAAATTCGAGGGCCTGGGGTACAAGCCCATGTTGAAACAAGCCCATGTCATCCCATATCTATGATTTGAAGATATTTGAAACCCCTCAGCAACTGAACCATGGCCGGGCTCGACATCATGTCACATCTGCATTGGAGGACTCATGCAGCCAGAGGCTGCTGAGATCCAGCAAAATGATCGCGCGTTGTGACGCTGCAAAGACGAGAACTTACAGTGACCACGGGAGGGGTGAACAGAAAACAAAAAAATGAACTGAACTGCTTCATCATTGGAGTGGATTGGGTGCCTGGATGTGCCTATTTTTCTTTGATAATTTTATTAAAAAAATATCGTAAAAAATCATAAAATATAAAGGAATATAAAGGATAGAGATAGGCCAACAAGTTATACTGTTTGCAGCCATCCCAATATGATTTCTGCAGCTGGAACAGTGTAACGGTACCCCTTCAGGTGGCGGCCATGCATTCAACGGCAGCGGGTGTAAAAGATGCAACGAGCTAAGTGCATACCTAAGGAGTCCTACAAATCTGCAACTGTGTCAAACATCACAGTTGCAGCAGTGTGACAAGCGAAATCGCCAGATTGTCCCCCCCTGTGAACTTCGAATCAACTCCAAATCATCACAGTATTGTTGAATCAAAGGAGTAGCAATGGAATAGCAATGTCATGCCATGTCCGCAAAAAATATGCTCCCAAAACGTCGCACTGTTGGCGATCACTTCTCATTGTCTTACGGAAATGCGACTTGAAGTCATTGCATTGGACAAATGGAGCCTTGGCCGGTGGTGTCGACAGCTTCTCTGGTTGGCAGTTTCAACCAATCCCCGAAAAAGAGATCCCCCTTTTGCGGAAAGAAATCCCACTTGTTTGATGGTAGTTTCGCCAATAGTTGGAGATGGAACCTCAGCCCTCCTAGGTAAATCCCCATCCAATCCCGTTTTTCTATTTTTTTCTTAGTTACCAGTAAGAATGAAATTGCAATTTGTTCCAAATTTGTTCCAATAATTATGCATTTTTTCCGTAGTTTTTATGTCATGTCATGAAACCCCCATCTGCCCGCCCCCTGGAATCCTCTCCTCCCAATCTGTGGACGGAACAACACCGAGCGCCTTCAGAGCCTTGAAACGCTTCACCTGCACCGAACACCAATGAGCTAAGCATTTCTTGGAGGTCTGCTGATAGCTACGAGTAATTGGTATGATATCATTGATGTCATCTGTTATCGTTGCCATATGTTTGCATACTGTTATCTTAGCACCAATTGAATGCTGACTCCAATCACAGCATTGAATAACTAATCATGTCGAAGCACAACCACTAATCCACAAACTGTAATCACCAATTCACGACTATATGATCATATATGATTATTATATATATAATCACTAATTATGTCAAATCATATCTATATCATTGTCAGTTGCAGAATATCGTTCTATATCTCCATAGTGAGAATCCGGACCTCTGCGATGTGGCGGCCTCAGCGTCGGTTCTCAAGACAGGTCAAATCATTGGAAAATAGATGATAGATGATGAATGATGTTGAATGATGATGAATGATGATGACAATGATGATGATAGATATTAGTTAGGCATGATTTGATTATTGATGATGAATATCTGATGCTAGAATATGATATATGATATATCCAAGTTGTGGCTCTGTAAGAGGTAAGAAACGGAACATTGAACCAAACAGAACAACACAAACTCGCCAAACACATCCAAAAAGACGTGTTCGATGATCAAAACACCGATGTTTCGTTCATGTCCCACTGATAGGCAGCCATGACCTCTACACTGCCACTGCGTCCCCAGCAGATAGACATCATCTCCAGCGATGAGCCTTTCCAACCTGGGCATCGGAACCATTGGGAACCAACAAAAAAACATATCTGCCATATTCTGCCAGATCAAAACCCATGTACCAGTCACATCCAGTCATTGCTCTAACGATAAGCCACGGAATCCGGTCAAGAATCAACAGCTGTCTGCTCAAAATGAAGCACTGACGTTTCCATGAGAGTTTTTGATTCGTCACTCAGATGTCCTTCAGGGATGCTCCAAAAGAAAGGACAACTTATAGAAATTATGGCAAATTCATAGTTTCTACATGTTTCTACTGCCTCCAAATCGATCCAAATGGTCATGGGCAGATGTTCGATGTGGTTTTCCATTACCCATGGTACTGAAGTCACATCCAATTACTCCGTTTTGATCCGTTTCGACTGAATGGATCTAATGGATCTACCTTTGAAGCGCTTCCTCCGGGGGAAAGCCTCCAGGCCTTAGTCAGTGGTTTTTCCACAGCCATGCCAAAAATTCGAGTGTTCTTATCCCCAAAAAATCGAAACAACATGCCAAAATGATGCAAAGTATCTCTATGCATTCGAGATGTCATTCGATTTCTCTTTCCAATTCCTTCCATTTCCGTCTCATCTATATATTCTGTGTTCTATTGTGTTCTAATATGTTCTAATCATGTCCAGTGTTCTCAATCTGCAACTTTGACCAGGTGT